AGGAAACCATCCCCAATCCAGATGGAATCCAATCTGTGTCAGCTCAGATTTGGGGGTCCTGGGTCACAAGTTACATTGAACTTGTCTGAGACTTCTTCCCTTGATATCCAGAATATTGAAATTGGATTGTAACAAGAGTCAAATCTTCTCCCCTTTGCCCAAAACATGTTTGTTTTATATATCCTTGGAATAAATAGAAAATTAGGATCCTATGTATAATAATTTTTTTGGTTTGAATTCTGTCTCAGACATTTACTACCTGTGTTGACACCCTGGGCAAATCACTTAGTCTCTCTCTGCCTCAGTTTCTACATCTTTAAAGTGGGAGTGATAATAGCACCTATATGTATTGTGGTCCCTTATTAATATGTAAGTTCCTTGAAGGCACAGATTATTTTGCTTATATCTGTGTCTCTAGTGCTTAGTGCTATGCCTGAAATATAGTAAATACTTAATAAATGCTTTTTCATTCATTTATTCATTCAGGGTTGTTTTGAGAATCAAGTGAGATAATTTATATAAAGCATTTTTCAACCTTTAAAGTCTTGTATTAATGTTAGCTATGATGATGGTGGTGGTGGTAAATGTTGCATACTAAATAGACATGTTGAAGTTCTTGTGGATTTATTTTATATCTTACATCCTTGATGCATCTATTGTCTGGTTTTGGTTTTTGGGATTTTTTTTTGCTTATTCTCTGGGGTTTACTAAATCTGCCATTATGTTGTCTGAGAGGGGAAGACACTTGCAACTAGAAAAGGTTTCCTGTAGAAGGTGAAATCTGGGGAAAATGTGAGACCAAGGTGAAGGAGTAAGAGAATTCCTGGAATTGGGGAGCAGGCCAGGGAAAATGGAGACTGGAGGTGGAGTGTGCTGTGCAAGGAACAGCAGATAGGCCCCGATAGACAGATCAAAGATCTCCTTGTATTTGTCAGTCAAGACAATTCAACAGATAGTAAGAGCTTCTTAAGTACAAGGCACTGTGCTAGGTGCTGAGGATTCTAAGACAAAATGAAGAACAGTCCCTCCTCTCAAGAAGGTTACATTCTCCTGAAGTGATACAGCATTTACACAGAAAGATCAGTATAAGATCATTTGAGAAGGGAGAAAACACTAGCAAGGAGCAATCAGGAAAGGCTTCCCATAGGAAGCGACAGCAGAGTTGAGTTGAACCTTGAAGCAAGAATCCCAAGAGGTGGAGGAGGAGAGGAGGAATTAATCCAAAAGTGAAATGGGACCCCTCAAGAGGTGGTAGATTCTTCCACACTGGATGAACATTTTTTGGGGGTATGTTGTACAGAAGATAATTTTTTTACAGATAAAGTGGACAAGAAGGCTTCTTGGGTCCCATCCAGCTCTGAAGTTCCACGAAAGCAAGAAACATGACTTAACTAAACTTTTCTCCCTTTGCTCTGTGCAAAGGTGCTTAATTATGTCGAAATAAATTAGCTTCTGCACAGATAATTTGATTAAAGCTAGTCTCAGGGGCAGCTAGATGGTACAGTGGATAGAGCACCAGCCCTGGAGTCAGGAGGACCTGAGTTCAAATCTAGCCTCAGACACTTGACACTTCCTAGCTGTGTGACCCTGGGCAAGTCAATTAACCTCATTGCCCGGGGGCGGGAGGAGAGGGGGAGAGAACTAGTCTCAGAAGAACAAACAATGAAAACCCACATTTCCCCTCTTTGTATGTACACACTACAGATAGCTCAAGCTTGAGGCAGAATCTGAAACACCCCTCTGGGCAACTGCTGCAGCTGCTGCCTTCCTGCTCCCAAGGCTTCTCTGCACTGCCATGTGCGTGGTGTGCTATCTGGTGCTGATTTAGCCGGAATTATGGATCCAGTCCCTATGATTTTTGATAGGCAGCTAAGCTGACTGATCCAAAGGTAGCTGTTTTCACAAATCACCCTAACTGTAGGCTACAAAAGGTCTCTGTTTGTGATTAGGTAGGTAACTGGGCCCCAGTTGGGAAGTGGAGGACCCCCTGGGGAAAGAAGATGATAGCCAAGTTATAATCTGAGGCAATAAAAAGATGTTTTGCAGTGTCAGACTTTGGTCTACAGAAATATATAATGAGGGGGCAGCAGTCCAAATCTAAGAAAGTAAGCATGGCCGCATAGAGCATACTATGAAGTGGCAACTGTGAAACAGTGTCATCTCATTCTGCTTCTCTTTTGGAGACAGTACTCTTTTATGAGGGCAATGTCCTTATCATGTACCTTCTTTCATTCTTGCATCAGCATTGCTATGGTCCTACACGTCTGGCTTATGAGAAGACTGGAATCCTGTGTAAGATAGTGAATTGCCTGTCTCTGGGGAGTTAGCTTGGTGGAGGTGTTGCAGAGGTGATAAATGCAGTCAGTCAACAAGTATTTGTTCATCATTTTCTCTGTGCTAAGTGTTTAGGATAAAAAGGCAAAAATATGGTCCCTATCCTTGAAGAATTCTCATTCTTCCAATGGGGGAGACAACATGCAAATAATTATACATATAAGATATATACTATGCAAATGGAAGGTAATTTCAAAGGGAACACACTAACTAGGGGGCGAGTGACCTTCTACCTCTGGCAGAAGGTAGGATTGGAGCTACTTCCTGAAAGAAGCAATGGAAACAAGGAAGTGATGAAGAAGAGCATTCTTGGCATGAGGGGTATCCAGGGAAAAGACACTGAGGCAGGAGATGGGGAGTAAATGTAAGGAGACCGGAAAGGTAGAAAAGGCCAGGTTGTGAAGGCCTTTTAGAGAAAAACAGAACATTTCATGTTAGATCTTGGAGAGAAGAGGGAGCTGCTGCAGTTTATTGAATGGAGGAGGGGGTGACATGGTCAGACCTGGGCTTTAGGAAGATTACTTTGGCCCTAAGTGGAGGATGGAGTAGATTGGGGAGAGGCTTTCAGGCACAGAGACCATCCAGGAAGCTGTTGGCAGTGGTTCAGGCGAGAGATGATAAGGGCCTACACCAAGGTAGTGGAGAAAATGGGATGTATGTAAGAGAGGTTGTGAAAGTAGAAATGATCAAACTTGATCAGGGGTCAGTCGGTAAACTACAGCCTACAGCCTGTTTTTGTAGTCTGCCAAGGCAAGAATGGTCTTTATATTTTTAAATAAACTTTTCTTGTGTTTAAAAACACAAAAAAACCCATCTCTAGCTCCAGGGCAGGTGGAGAACCAGGTATAGTTTGTCAACCCCTAGATTAAATATGTGGAGTGAGCAAGGGAGTGATTTTAGGATGATACCTTGGTTGTAAGCCTGGATAACTGGGAAGATGGTGGTGCCCTTGAACATAATACAGATATTTGGAAGAGGGAAGAGTTTTAGGGAAAAGATAAAGAGTTCTGTTTTGGACATGTTGAGTTTTAGAGTCTACAAGATGTCCAGTTCACCATATCCTAAAGATACTTGATGATTCAAGATCGGACCTCAAGAGAGAAGTTAGATAGATATAGAAATAGATACAGATGTATAAATATGTGAATCATCTGCATAGAGCTAATAAATGAAGCTATGGGAACTGATGCTCATTAAGCAAGATAGTATAGTTAGAGAAGAGAAGAGGGCCCAAGACAAAGCCTTGGAGGAGTGGTCAGACAGGTAGGAGGAGAACGAGGAGAGGACAGTGTCATAAAAATCTGTAAAAGAGAAGTTATCCAGAAGTTGAGCAACAGTGTCAAAGGTTGTTGAGAAGCCAAGTAGGATGATGATTAAGAAAAGACCATTAAATTTGGCAATTAAAAGATCAGACTTTAGAGAGATCAGTTTTAGTTGAGTTAATAAAATTGGAAGCCAGACTGCAGGGAGTTCAGAGTCCATTGAGAGAAGAGGAAGTGGAGGCAGCATATGTAGATGGCTTTCTCAAGGAGTTTAACCAGGAAGGGGAGGAGAAATATAGGATGATAGGTACCAGATGTGGTTGAATCAAGAGAGGTTTTTTTTTTTTAAAAGGATGGTATAAACTTGAACATGTTTGTAAGCAGCAAGAAAAGAGCCAGTAGATAGGGAGAGATTGAAGATTAGAAAGAAAATGAGGGGCAGCTAGGTGGCGCAGTGGATAGAGCACTGGCCCTGGATTCAGGAGGACCTGAGTTGAAATCTGGCCTCAGACACATAACACTTACTAGCTGTGTGACCCTGGGCAAGTCATTTAACCCCATTGCCTAACAAGAAAGAAAGAAAGAGAATGAAGATAATAGAGGGGACAATCTAGATAAATATGAGTTGGACTGGATAGTCTTTGAATTTTTTTCTAGCTCTGATAATCTGTGATATCCATCACCCATAATAATTATGTAGTAGCAAAGTTTATTTGCAAATGCTAGAGCTGTTATCTTAGACCTTGTACCACTTTCACTAGTAATTATTAAATAGCATCTTTATAAGATAAAGCTTGCCTTGGTGCTATTCATCAGGGAAAAGTGGGTTATTTTAATGATGAACAAAGTGGAAAGAGAAATTATTGGAGCAAATTTTTTCCAAAAGTTATTTTTATTTCTCAGTTTTCTCCTCATGTCCATAAATCCTCCTCAGTAAGGTACAACCTCAAGATGCAGGGAGGAACTAAACTGCCTTAGTAAATTATCATTTTGCTACTAATCACATATAAGCTATGGGCATACAAATGTTTTAACTAATTCCCAGAAGCTACCTCAGGAACATGAGTTCTGGGAAAAGAGGCAGTGAGTCCTTGGTACTTCTACCTTTCAATTCCATTTCTAACTTGCTCTGTGACCTTAGAAAAGTCATTCAGTCTCTCTGGACCAGATAGCAGCCCTGGTACCTGTCATCAATTCAGAGAAAGAGATGATAGTGAATGAAACAAAAGCATTCCTTTTTCTTAGGGTGTATGGAAGTAGTGCCCTGCAGATAGATATAAGGTAATCTCAAGAATGGTTCTGGGTGCATTATACATCTTTCTTTATAACTCCTAAGTAGGTGAGGAGAATTACTATGAGGCAGTGTACATTTCAAGTCTGATGTGTTTTCCTTTTTTCCTTCAGGTCTGCCGCAGAAGAAGTCAACTGTAAGTGAGGTGAGTTGTACCCCATATTGTACTCCAAAGTAGGGAAGACTTGGGGCAAGATGGGCCTGGCTTTAGGCTGAGAGCCAAAAAGGACCAGTATGGACCTTGCCTCTGTCCTGTCAGCCTGAATTCTGAGCTCTGGGTTTCTGCCATGTTTTGGATGTCATCATCCTGTGTCCTTCCCACCTTATCAAGCCATTGTGAACAAGCCCCACATTACTTATCAGGAGATCTGTATTCTTGCCCTACTTCTACTACTGACTTACTCTCTGCCTTCAGGAAAGTCATTTCCCCTTTCTGTACCTTGCTTTCTTCCTCTATAAAATGGGAATGATGACCTCCCTTTTTGATTTCAGAGAAGTACCTTTACCTCTCTGAGCCTCAGTTTCATCTTTTGCAAAATAGAGTTGGTTCCTTCCAGCTCTGAATCCTGGCATAGTTCTTGCCCACTCAGAGATATTACTTCCATACTTAAGTGGGCCAGAGTGATCCTGTCAGTTTGGGTATTCTCTCTTCTAGTACAAATCAGAACCCTTCTGTGCATTCTTGTCCTTTATAATCTTTGTCTATTTCTTTCCATAAATCACCACAGGATCCTCCCCGAGGTATGAACAGGACAAAATTAGGTGGTGCATATGACAGCGCCTGGAAATATTGAAAATGTGAGGTGGTCGTAGAGGCAGTAGGAAGTTGGGAGGGATAGAATTGAACCAAAAAGTCACCCCACACTGCACCAGCTTTCCAGATTCCCCAAGGAGGATAGTTCTAGAGCAGAAGTATGAGTCTATATATGAGAAGCAATACAGCTTGAATAAGTCAAGAGACAGGGCTGAAGTGTAAATTTAAGATACCTGGGAAATGAGTAGGCACAAAGCTGGGCCCACCTCCATGAATGAAATTCAACTGGACAGCTCTGTGCCACTTCTGCCTTTACCCTAGAGCAAGAGTTCTTAATTTTTTTTGTGTCATGGATCACTTTGGCAGTCTAGTGAAACCTAGGAACCCCATCTCAGAAAAATGGTTGGATGCCTACATTCATAATTAAAGGAAATACTAAATTCCAGTTAAAGGTTAGTTAAAATGAAGATGTAATTTTTTTCCCATTTAAGTTTTCCCTTCCCAGAAATCTATCCACAGACCCCTTGGGGATATGTGTACCCTAGCTTAAGTACTCTTGCCCTAAAAGGAATCAACTGACTCTGAAAAGCCTATTTCTCCTATTCCAGGTGAGAGTGGAGATGTATGAGAGCTTTGGGTATGTTGTTGTAATAAACTCTCTATTAACATAGGGGTGGCAAAGCAGTATCCCTCGTTCTTTACTCCAGTCTGAATCCTACCTACCAGAAATTCACCTAGAGAGGGGTCTGTCCAGGGCCATGCATATGGCTAAGAAGAATCGGCAAACTCTGGAAAAGTTTATATCAAGGTTAGGAATTGCAAATCAATTCAACAAACATTTATTAAGCACCCATGTTAGGTGCTGGACATACAGAGAAAAAAATGAAATAATCCCTGCCTTCAAGGAGCTTACATCCTCCTGGGGGGATAATTTGAAGAGGGAAAGAACATTGACAAGTGGAGGGATAGGGAAAGGAATGAAATTCGTGATGGCATCTGAGCTGTACCTTGAAGAATATAGGGATTCTAAGAGACAGAGGTCAGTCAATAAGCATTTATTAAGCATTTACTATGTTCCACATGCTGTGCCATGAGGCAAGTGCATTCAGGGCATGAGGGACAGCCTGTGCAAAGGTGTGGAGAGAGTACTTGGAATGGGAAGGTTGGGGAACAGCAAATAGAAGAGCTTGGTTAGAGCATAGAGTACTTGAAGGGGAGTAATAGGAAAAAAAATCTTTAAAAGTAGGCTGGAGCCAGATTGTGCAGGATTTGAATGTCCAGCTGGGGAGTCAGAAGCTGCAGAGAGGTCACAAGAGAAAGAGTAAGAAAAATCCTTTGCATATAGCAGTTTAGAGATCGTTGCTGACTTTGGAGAAGGCATGTGCAGTAGAGTGGTGAGGTCCGAAGCCAGACTGCAAGAGATTGGGGAATGAGGAGGAGGGAAGGAAATGGAGGCAGCAAGTAGAGATCACTTTTTCTAGGAGTTTGACTTTGAAAAGGTGATTAATGGGATAACAAAAGACAGGCTCCCAAAGGAGATGAGAAGGGATGGTATGAAGGACACAAACAGAGGAGTCAGCCTTGGTGATAATCATAGGATCGTGGATCATAGACCTATAACTGGAAGGGCCCTCAGAGGCCAGGTAGTCCATCCCTCTCATTTTACACATAAAGAAACTGAGGCACAGGGCGGTTAAGTGACTTGCTCAGAGTCACACAAGTAGTAAACAGCACTCAGATTTGAACCTATTTCCTTTGACTCCACATCTCTTCCAACTTTTTGTCAGGTAGGAGCAGAGAAGGAGAAGCAGAGGGGTGTGATGGAGCAGGGGTTTAGGTTGTAGAAGTAGGGAGTTGGAGAGAGATAGCAGAGGGCCTCTGATTTCCCTGTAAAGGCAAGTAAAGTACTCTTTTAAGAGTGAATAGTATTAGAGGGTTTGAGAAGTTGGAAATAACTACTTTGAGGAATGTGGGTCAGAGAAAAATCAAAGGATTTTCATGAAATAAGAGCCTAATTAAGATTAAATAACATAAATTTATCGTAGACCAAATTGCTTTGGTTGTGTGACTATGTTTTCTAACTATGTTGAGCTATAGTAAATATGCCAGTAATTTATCTGGACATACTCCCAGAATGGTGGCAGCCCCATGATAAAATTCAATATCACTGATGACCACAGACATTAGAGGTTAGTAAAGGTTGTAGGAATCCTGGGATTTCCCCAAGTGAGTCCTTACCTTAGGCACAAGACCCATCATACTAGTTGATATAATGGCAGAAATAGATCTACCAGAATTCTTGAGCAGCTATATGAAGTGTCCTGAGTAATGTTTTTTGCCCCCTTGCTGAGCTGTCTCAGCATTGTCCATCAGGGTTCCTCTGATGTATTGAAAATATAGACGCCCATCTGAGACTTTTTCCCTCTACTGAGCCTGGGCTGGGAGGATCCTCCTGCCTAGATGGCAGACAGCTGAGCCCTATACCTATTGTTCCCACGTCAGCTCTGCAAGATCTAGCCATGCGGTTTTCTGGCTACAGTATTTTCCTGGGGCTGAAAGGTACCAAGAACATAATCCAACTTTCTGAACAGAATATAGGCTTGCTAACTGCGGCAATCTAAAATGTACAAGATAGAGTAGTTAAACTAGCTCAAAAGAAGTATTCACCTTAATTGATGGAAGTTTAATTTCAGATGTTTTGAAGGTCTTCCTGATTTTTGTGGACCATCTGGACTATGACAGGGCTTTGATCTCCTTCCATATTCTAACAGTTCTTTCTCTTATGTAATGAAGTGTCTTTTGGCTGCTTACAGTTTCCTCGAAAAGGGTGAACCTTTTGCATGTGGTAGGGAATGGAGTACATTAATGGAAGAGAAGTTGCCCATTTGAGATACAAGAGCTTCCACTGCCACATTTGGGGAAGCTGTTTCCAGCTTGAGGGCCAAAGCAAACAAACTGTCTTTTCAGCCACTTGGAGTTAGTTTCTACAAAAACATTTCAAATAAATCAATGAGGGGCCTAATCAAGGCTGAAAAACATGGTTGGGGTAAAGTGTTATTCATAGATCACCAACCCCCCACCATCTCCTCCTCCACCCTACCCCAGCCTCCTTTTGGTCATTTGTTGTAGAGCCCTTCTCTCCACCCCAGCTCAGGTCTTTTCACCTCTCCCTTGGACTATTGTAGTAGCCTCCTAATTAGTCTCCGTGTTTCATCTCATTCTTCTAGTACAGCCTCCACATAGCTGCCAAAGTGATATTCCTAAAGCACAGCTCCAGCCATGTCACTCTCCTCCTTAAACTCCAGTGGTTTTCTGTCGCCTGTAGCATTATAGGATTAGAAATTTAGAGCTGGAAGAATCATTAAAGGTCATTGAGTCCAACTCCTTCATTTTACAGATGAAGAAACTGAGGCTAAGAGAGGTTAAGTGACTTGCCCAGAGTCACACAACTGGTAAGTGTTCAAGGCAGATCTTCCTGACTCCCAAGCCCAGCCATCCATAACCTGTCCCATGCCACCTACATAATATGAACTCTCCTGTTTAATCCAGCTTACAAGAAACAACACTCCCCTTCATGTGCTCTTCAGTCCAGCCAAACTGGTCTTCCTGTTCTTCACATATGACATTCCATTTCCCGTCTCTGTGTCCTTGTACAGGGTCTTTCCAACAGATAATGCATTCCTTCATTTCATCCCTTCCTCTTAAAATCCCTAACTTCCTTCCAACAGCCCAAGCTCAACTCCCACAAGAGGCCTTTCCTATTTCTCCCACCTACCACTACTAGTCACTCCCTCCCTGAAATTACCTTGTCTTTATGTGATTATAGGATCATAGATCTAGAGCTGAAAGGAACTACAGAGACCATCTTACTCAACTCCTGTTTTCCAGATGAGGAAACTGAGGCCCACAGAGATTATGAGTTGCCCAAGTGCATGCAAGTAAAAGATAGAGCCTTGATATGAACCCAAGTCCTCTGACTCAGAGGTGGTATTCTTTCCACTGTGACATGTTGCTCTCTTAATGGTAGGTACACACACACACACACACACACACATATCATATAATTTGTTATTCTCACATGTATACATGTTGCTTCCCCTGAATGAATCTAATTAGGTTCCTTGAGGGCAAGGACTATTTTATGTTTAGCTTCATATCCCCAACACCTGGTAGGCACTTAGTAAATGCTTTTTATGATAATAAATGTATGTCCTCATAGAACTCTCTCCACTTTTAATAAATATATCCATGTTTTTTTACCTATCACATGCCCTCAGAATTTTACTTCTTTGTGCCCAAGTTTGTATCTCTCTAGCTCAGTGAATTAAATTCTCGTGTAAGGTGACATACTGGGAAGGCACCCAAAATATATCATCGTAGGTAACATTTAA